CTCACTGTCAGCTGTCTTAAACGACATACTGTCTAAAGATCTTGTATTATTGGGTGACTTGAATTGGAATTGGCTGACCTCAAATTCAGACCAGTTCAAAGCATATTGTGATTCTGTGAACTTCACTCAACTCATTGAATCACCAACACGGCTGAATCTTTAGAACCCAAGCAAGTCCACTTTAATAGATCTCATACTAACAAATAAACCCCATAAATACACCTATACAGGAGTTTTTCCTGATGATGTCAGTGATCATTGCACTATAGCGGTTATAAGAAATTGTAAAATTCCCAAAGTAAAACCTAGAATTATTACTAAAAGAAACTTTAAATTGTTTGATATTCAGGGGGTTTTACACGAGTTGTTTGCATCTGATTGGGACAGATTGTATTTAATACCAGATGTGTCCATTGCATGGCAGTATTTTCACACTTTGTTCTTGAAGATTGTGAATAGACATGCCCCTGTTAGGACTTTCAGAGTAAAAGGCCGCGATAATCCATGGTTCTCAAATGAACTATCTGAACTCCTCCATGAAAGAAATTTGGCTTGGGCCACTGCGAGGAATTCAGATACAGAAAGAGATTGGGTAGCATTTAGAGTATTGAGAAATAAATGCACAGCTCTTGTACGCAGATCTAAATCTGAATATTATTTAAAAGAAACCTCACAAAATCTGAATAATCCCATAAAATTTTGGAAAACCATCAGATCACTGTGTCCCTCCACATTATCTAATGATTTTCCAGACCAAATTTTAGCAGACGATATGCTCATTAATAATAAAATGGTTATGGTAAATATTTTTAACAAGCATTTTATTTCTTCAAGTTCTATTTTTAAAGAAACTACTGTAAGTGTTATACCAAATCCATCTCCTCGGAGAGCAGATAGTCTGACTTTTAATTTTTCTCCAATTTGTAGAAGTGAGGTCTTAAAAGGTTTAAAAGATCTAGACATCAAGAAGTCTGCAGGGCCTGATGAAATTGAGCCATATTTTTTGAAACTGGCTGCCGAGATCATTGCTGGCCCATTAGCCTATATTTTTAATTTATCGTTAGAACAAAATATTGTTCCTGATATTTGGAAATCTGCTTTGGTTGTACCCCTGCTGAAAGGCGGTGACCCAACCATTCTAAATAATTATAGGCTATCAGCTGTGGCTAAAATTTTAGAATCTATTGTCACCGAACAGCTAAAGGAATTTTTAAATATAAATAGTATTCTATCTAGGTTTCAGTCCGGTTTTAGAAAAAATCATAGTACAGTAACTGCTACTATGAAAGTCTTAAATGACATTACTTGCGCCCTAGATACTGGAAGATCATGTGCTGCAATGTTTATTGATTTGACAAAAGCTTTCGATGTGGTCAATCATGATATTCTTTTGTCGCGTTTACATTGTATCGGCCTTTCTGGAGCCGCATTGGGTTGGATCGGGAACTATTTGAAGAATAGGAGTCAAAGAGTGCAAATTAAGGGGTCTCTTTCTGACAAGCTGACCATCGAATCTGGTGTGCCACAGGTGTCCATATTGGGTCCCCTGTTGTTTACATTATATATTAACAATCTTGGTGATAATCTATCAGATGCAAGTATCCATTTATATGCCGATGATACCATTATCTACTGCTTTGCATCTTCTATTGAAAATTGCATTTTAAAGCTGCAGGAAGCATTTGAACTAGTTCAGCGTAAACTATTTTCTTTAAAATTAGTCCTAAATGATAAGAAAACAAAATACATGGTCTTTTCTAGGAAACAAAAGACTGATTCTCCTCCACCACCTATTTACACTTTGCAGGGTAACTCTATAGAACTGGTTTCCTCTTATAAATATCTGGGGTTTGTGTTGGAAGTGGACTTATCATTCAAGTTACATGTTAAACAACTGTTGTCTAAGTTAAGGTTACAGCTGGGGTTTTATTTTCGAAATAGTGCATGTTTCTCACAGTCGGCTAAGAGAAAGTTGGTGGAATCTACCTTCTTACCTATCTTAGATTATGGAGATGTTTTTTACAGAAATTCCACTAAAGCTCTCCTAAAATCAGTAGATTCTGTTTATCACTCTGCTCTAAGATTTATAACTAACTCAAAATATCACACTCATCATTGTGCGCTGTATGAGATGGTAGGTTGGCCTTCACTTCATATAAGAAGGCACAAACACTGGCTCATACTTGTATATAAGGCATTAGTCGGCCAGCTTCCCCAATATTTGAGTAGTTTACTAACTTTTAATAGTCAAGGGTATAATCTACGTTCAAGTAGATATATTCTTTTAAATGTTCCTTTAATGAAGACAGAATTTGGAAAAACTGCTTTTACTTATAGTGCATCAACTGTTTGGAATGAGATCCAAAGTTCACTGAAACTTGAAGAACTTATTTCGATAAGTGAGTTCAAGCTACACTTAAACAAATCATTCAAATCTGTCTGCACTTGCTCTTAACATTTAATTTTGTATTATTTTTTGTACATGTTCGTGTTGTGTATTATGTTTTATGTATTTATGTATATTGTGTGCTGCTATTTTGGCCAGGGCTCACTTGTAAATGAGATATTTATCTCAATGTGACTATATCCCTGGTTAAATAAAGGTTTAAAAAAAAAAAAAACATAAATAACGACTTTATTCGACTATTCCATTACTTCCTTATGGGCGCATGCGCGAGAACTGAGACGAGGACGTTCTCCTTCGTCTACTTCTTATTACCGGCTGCTCACCGCTTAGGAGTTTTACTGCCACCTACCGTATAAAATGATGATCCATATATAAGGCGCTCCGGATTATAAGGAACACTGTCGTTTTTTGAGAAGATTAAAGGCTTTTAAGTGCACCTTGTAGTACGGAAAATACGCTAATTGAAAAGCGTATGTACAGCGCGCATCTTCCTCTGCTTGTAAACAGAAAGTTTTGCGCTTCCAGCTATATCAGCACATCATCTTATACCGTAGGGGGCGGTAAAACTCCTAAGCGGAGCAGCCGGTAGCAAGAAGTAGACGAAGGAGAACGTCCTCGTCTCAGTTCTCGCGCATGTGCCCATAAGGAAGTAATGGAATAGTCGAATAAAGTCGTTATTTATGTTTTTTTCGCACAAAAAGTAGTCTCGTCGCTAGATAAACTTATAATTGAGCCGCTGTAGGCACATGGAATATTTAAACCTTTTCTTTAATGACTTTATGGGCCGTCAAGAGCCAGTCCCTTAGGCAGTCTATGTAGGACTGATCCAGCTCTCAGATTCAATCAAAAATATCTTTATTTGTGTTCCGAAGATGAACGAAGGTCTTACGGGGTTGGAACAGCATGGGGGTGAGTAATTAATGACTTAATTTTCATTTTTGGGTGAACTAACCCTTTAAGTTTTTAAATACGATAGTAAGGTGTTGGGGTATGGGTAATTATGTGTTAAGTGTATTAAGCCTGTTTTATGCTTCTGCGTCGAATCGACGGCGTACCCCCGCAAACCCCTATCCGTCGACGCGAACCCCTCTCTGACCCCTCCGCCGTAGCTCGACGTGCACCTCCAAAAATGTGTAACTACGCGTCGAGGCGACGCAGACAGCAAGGGCTTTGATTGGTCAGATTATACATCAATTCAGGAGTTTAGCTTTTCCGATTTCCCCCTCCCGCTATTAGCGCTATTTTGAACATTTGCACCCTCGTTCTGATAATTATAATACTCTTATAAAGAAAGTAAATAAAGAATTAAACGAAAAATAAACTGTTTTTTTATCATTGTTAATATATATGTCTATATTCTTTTCTTTCTTTTTTGCTCGCAATAAACTTCAATCAATCAATAAATCGACGTTTGTTTTTAAAAAACAGTTTGTTGTTTATTTTCAATACAATGTTCACGGTTACATCATTGATAATACAGTACTAACCAAGTCTGCCACGGGACACATTATATCCAGTTCCATGTGGAGACTGAAAAAAATCCTTCAAGTCATTCCGAACAGGTGTCGTTATGGCAGCTCGGGTGGAACCTTTATTTTATTGTCTATGGGTGGAACGGGCCCTGGACATCCGTGTTGATTCTGTGGGGATAAAGTTTGTGTCGTCTCGTTATTCAACGTCGATTAGCTCCAGCTGGCAGCTGCTAACAACATTCTCTCTCTTTCGCTCGCGGCGCACGGAACCAAAGAGATTCGCGAACCCCCCTAGCGTTCTGGCGGCGAAATGCACCGCGATGCACCTCAACCTCACGGAGAAGCATAAAACGGCCACGACGCCATAGTGGTGACGACGTAGCTACGCCGTGGAGTTGACGCAGAAGCATAATGAGGCCTTAGTAGTGTGTGTTTACTTACCAGTATCTTCAAAGGTTCTTTATGAGGGATGTATGATGTAATGCCTACTTGATAGTCTATCAAACTGTCTTCATAGTTCATATGGGGACAAATAAAGAGATAGATTGAATGAACAGATAGATTGAATGAAGAGATAGATTGAATGAGTTTTAAATGAGAGAGGTTTAATATAACACCCTTTTTATCTCCACAGCTGATTAATGACCTGCAAACAAGTTTATGTTTGGATAAGGGACCATCTGAGAAGAACACTCCCATTATATATCCATGTCATTTCTTTACCTCCCAGGTATAATCCCTAATCTGTATTTTTTTTTTTTAGGAATATTTGAGAATATTTTATACTTTAATCTCTTCTCACACAGGTATTTTACTATACGGCAAGTGGTGAGATACTTGCTGATCCCCTGCCGACCCTTTTACATGATCGGAAGCGCTGTCTAATTGATCCCGGCTCAGGCAGGTTTCCGGAGCTGTCCTGGTGTTCAGACACTGAAAAACAAAAACACATGTACTGGGACTTCAAACAGGTGAACAAACCCCAAATACTGAGAGAATACTGTGGTATATAGCAATTCGCAATATATTTCATTGTATGAAAATAATTTCTTCATCTTGTTTGATTTTCAGGGACAGGCCATTCAGAACAGAGACACAAAACGCTGTCTGGAGGTCAGTGCTGAGCAGAACGTACAAAACGTTTTTATTCAGGAATGCAGAAACCAGCACTGGAGGATAAAACAAGTAATTCAGGATTTTTGAAACGCAACATATAACATATAATAACAGCTGACCTGTTGGAGCACATTGGAGAAGCAAAAATGTGAATGCAGCTATACACTGAAAGAAAAATGGCACAAAAATATTTTATCTGATGAGAAATAAAAAAGAGGATTAGAGAGAAAAACAATGATTTTCAGAGTTATAAATGACAAAATAATTACAGTTTATTTATTTGTTGGCCAAGTCGTGCATCCCTATATACATAATATTAAAAAAATAACAACTTTTCACTAACATTCCCATTAAGTTGGCAAAATGTTATTTCTGAATGTTCTCTGATCATAGACAATAAGGGAACATTCCATTTGATTAAATTGGAAACATTATGGGAAGGTTACTTCTGAATGCTCTCTAAACATTCCGTAACATTTAAAAAATGTTTTGAAAATCCAACCAAAATGGGTAACAGTCAAATTTTATTTTGATGGTTCACTTCTACTAACTAAACTATAACTTTGCAACTATATGTCAACTAACTCCCATTAAAGTATTAGACTGGTTGGGTTAGTAGAATAAATTGACATGTAGTTGCAAAGTTACTTCTAGTCAGTAGAATAGTGGAAACCTAAAACAATGTATAAATGTTTTTGTGCTCACGTTTTGAGAAATCTATTAAAGACCAGAGAACTTTGAAAAAATGTTATATTAACATTACTGGAAGAACGTTTGTTCAACGCTTTGTGAGAACCTTGCCAGAATGTTAGCCAAAGGATTGATACATTTTCCTGTTAGCTCGGTAATGATAATAAAATAATACTCCTCTTCTGTTTTTCATGGTTATGAATTATCCGCTACGAACTTATTCCACTTTTCCTGCCATATCGTCAAAGCTTTGTCCTGTAGTTGTGGTGACAAAGAACTGTACCTGTTAAAAAGGGGGGAATTGCAACCTTAAACTCATCTTCTACATAACTCAAATTATTTCTCAAATGAAAGTGTATGAATAAATCTGGACCTGATTGAATTCATCGCTAGCTCCTTCAGAGTGCCCAGGTTTGCACTTAGTCCTCCAATACCCACAAAGGCCTGGTAGAAATCATAGGAGAGCCCAGTGGTCCCGAATAAGGTGGGATCATCAGAACTCACCACTATGGGATGACCTTCTGACATTAGTGTCGCAGCGGGGTGGTTTCGCAGATCCGAGACTAGCTTTAGCACCTGAAGAAAACAAAACACAGTTTATTTTACCAGAAACACTATAATTCTGCCAAGTCTGTCCAAATAACGTTTTTAATCACACGATGCGAAGTACAAAAAAATTATACCTGGTTGGAAATGGGACACAATTCCACTGCCACCCCTCTCGTTCTGGAGAGCTGCTTGGCCAGAGGATGATGTACCAACGCAAAGCCATGTCCAATGCGGCTGGTGTTAAACAACAAAGCGTCTAAAACGTTCCTGTCCACATCCGTACCATCCAAATCTAAAAGCAAACACCCATAGTCTAATGTGGCGAACTCCGAGACAAGGTAGAGATGGATCAAAGGCAGATGTTTATTAAAGTAATGGCAAAATAGTGATGGGGTCTTTCGAAACCTTTGAGAAAAATTGATTCGAGTGATTCGGGGCGAGTATTTGTGTTTGTGATTTCGAAAAGCTTCGTTTCTCTCATCACTTTATCAAAATACCATTAACTCAGAAACTGGAAAACGCAAGACAAGGAGAACTGAGAACAACAACACACAGCTATAGAAAGACAAGGCCTGACAGACAAACATGGACTAAGTACAAGTACTGACCTGTTTCTCCAGCATGGAAAAAGAAAGGTAGTTGTGTTTCCATCTCTGAAATGAGTGACAAGGCTTCTCGAAAATACCAGATAGATCTTCCAGTGTCTTCACGACCTACCTACAGCAATAAATTCAAATCAGAATCAAATCAGAGAAAAGTAATACTATTGTTACGTGCTGGGGTCCTGATCAAGCCCGACAATTTCCGTGTGAAGAACTTAAGCATACTTTTAAAAATAACTATGGATTTTAGCCTATAGGTCAAGGGTGAGATTACCAGGTCAAATCCAGCGACGATGTCTGGATATTTTCGCTGCATTTCAATGGCCTCTTGCACTGCCCACTTCACTTGATATGCATAAAGATTCCTGTGTGTGCATTCAGATCAGCAGAAAAGTATATTAAACCTTCTGTCAAAACAAAATCCTTGACAATATAAATCATCTTTTTGAACAGAGTTTACTAAAATGTTTCTTTCAACTTTGCATTCATTAATGGCATTTCTTTGCTTTTAGAATTACATCATGATGTTTTAAGGAAGCATTTTTATTCATAATCTCATCCATAATCAGATATGTCACCCCTTTAGTCTAATGCTATCATAATTTACAAAATTTGTGTATATTTTTTAAACAATAATCATTAAAGTGACTGAATGAAATTATTGTAAAAAAAGAGCATTTCAAAACACAAAACTGAACATACACGCTTGGTAACAGATATAAAAATTCTTTACATCAGAAGTAATATTTAATTATGATTTTTGAATGGTTGGTAAATGTATTTGGATTAAAACAGGAAAGGGAACAACAGAGCATAAAAATTGAATGCGATGTAGTATTACCTGTGGACAGTGAAGATTATACGAGTTCCAATGAAGTCTGGATGATTTGCTCTGAACAGCTCAGTGATGTTTCTGTAGACCTCCAGAGACCACGCTCTGTCATGAGTAGTGCCATCCAGTTCATACGCCTAAACATAAAATCCTTATAGTTTGTTTTCAGGACAATAAAAAATAAACATGGTTTTCAGGATTTTAATTTAGACAAGGGTTGTCCATGGATTTGCTTACTGTACATGACCAGTCTGTAAGGGACAGTATTTGAAGTGCCCCTGTTGTGCTGTTTTGATATTAACGTTTATGTAGTGCGTAATATGGCTGTTGCCTGTTTCTGAATCCAAAAGGTCAGCAAAGTTTCAAAGATCAAAGTTATTGTCTCCCAAAAGAAAGAGCGATTCTGAACTGCAAGTCGTCAATAATTACAGTCTAACTTCCTACATGAACTTATGTAGGTTTGGAACAAATTTGCCTATGATTTTTATTGGCTGCCAAATGGTTGGTTCGTGCTCTTCCAAAGGATCAGGACTTGCACTGAAATGGATAGGGTAAAACTGATGCCATCGCTACTGTTCGCATCACTGTGTATCAAGTGCTGAGGAAGAGCCAGAGCTTAAATTCAGATATAGTAATGGTCGATTTGTTTCCGACACGCTATAAGCAGTAGACCAATCACAATAGACTGGGCCGTCTGACCAATCAGAGCAATCAGAACACAGCGTCCTAAATTGCTAACTGTTGGTAGTGGAACTACATTTGTTTTTAAACTTACTCCGTGACCGATAAAAAAGTATGTTCTATATAGTACAAATGTGTAATATGAATGAAATTCTGACTTCTTTTCATTGTCATGTGACCCACAGCATTGCATCACTTCACTTCCAGTCACATATCCTCTCCCGTGGCCTCATAGGATATAAAGTCGAATGTACATTTCAGAATCTGGGTATTTTTCACCTACTCTTGAATGCTTTGAATTTGGACATACTACTTGGCTCACATACTGTTTTTCATATACTGTATAATAGAAGTACGAAGTAGGCATATTCTTACTTGGCATGAGTCCTTTATACCGGCAAGGTGATGCTGCATTGTATTTTGTGAGAAAATGAAAGCCTTTTTTGGACTTAAATGAATGTAGGAGACCTCCAAAACAAAATTAAAACATGCAATCTGTTCGCAAATTAGTTATTTTTCATCCAAGAGATTAGACACTGTATAAACTTAATATTGTAATGTGGTTTAACAGTTGCAAACCTTGGACTGTCCAACCCTCAGCTCCACGTACATGATGTTGTCTTTGTAAAGCTCCGTCAGAGCCTCGTAAATGTAGTCGTTAAAAACAGGTGCATAGTAGATCAGCCCAGACAGAGCCATAAAAATCTTCTCGAACCTGTCCCACGCTGCATCTTGTGTTGGATAAGACGTCTCCGGGTCTTCCGTGAAGAGTGTAAGATTCCGCATTAAACTGAGAAATTGAATTCATGTTATTAGTCTATTTTCAGTTTGTTGGTTTTGGAACTGGTTATGATTAAATATGAATATTTTAGGGGACACACACACACACACACACACACAGTGCTGCCGTTGATTATTGCTATTGATGTAGATTAATGTTGCTGATACCACTGCTATTTTTGTACCAGTGGTTATTTTATGCCTGATGTTGAAATAGGTTTGATCACCTGTTATCGAAGGCAGTGACATCACTGAGGCTGGCCCTCAGCAGGTCTAGCCGTTTCCAGACAAAGCATCCAAAACGTGGAAATGGCATAGAAGTAGAGAAAAGGAACTTCAGTGACCCGTCCCACGTGAAGCAGATATAACAATGAGGCCTGTATGTCGCATTCAGCACCAGCCATTCCACACTCACCATAGCGGAGTTGTGGATGTGAAGGGCAGCACCTGTAAGGCACAGAGTCAGTTTGTCATCTGAAGGACAGATGTGCCCCAAATTGTTTTTTTCAAACCATTTCAGTGATTTCATTAGTCATGTCAATCACACGCCCCAAACATATAACCAGTTTTTACCCTTTGGCATTTTCTGTAGTAGTTTGAAGACAGGGCTATTTTGCACGACGTGCCGCACTTTGAAGAAGTGATTGGCAGGTGGGAAAGGTGAATAAACCATTTCCTTTAGCTTTAGCTGGTGTAGGATTGAATCCAACTTCAGTTCAGCAGGAGTGAGCTCCACACTGCCCCCTACTTGCTGGGAGATCTCCTGCTTCAGCATCAGATCCCTCTGATGGGGGTCTGGCATTGGATTACACTCTCTGATACACTGTAACATCAGCACGATCAGAGATGTCCTGCTGAAGATACACCAGAAGAGATGCCTCATGCTCGTACAGAGATCCTGAGACAAGAGAGAGTGATATTCCTATGCTTGTTATTTTTTTTTTTAAGCGATTTGTCTTTATCCAATGTGTCTGATGGCTTCATTTTGTAAACCATTTCACTTTGCATTGGATATGATTGTGTTGATACAAAATTAAATGCTGACTAAACTAAAAGCTTTAAGTCTAAAGTTCATAGCTGCAATCTGGAGATTATCTTATGCATCTTGCTAAACATTTAAATCAAATTGTTTGGATGCAAGTATACTTGTCTATTTTTTGTCCTTTTCCTATCTTAACGTCTTAATCAGATCTATCCCTTGTTAGAGGTCAGGACAATAATCTAATGTCAACTTAATTTATTTGCAGTCATTCTGTGAAAAGCATAAAAGGGTCTAAATTCACTTACTAATCTTTGAACATCCATTTTATTAATAAACAATAAGCATTATTATTACTTCGTACTTTATCAAAATGTAACCTACATCATAATTATCAATACTGTATATCCAACACAGGTTATGTTCGATCTCACTATTTCCTTAGTATGGTTAATATTATTTTAATATGGTTGCTTGACCCTTAGCCTTTACAATAATCAAATAATTGACATTTCTAACAATCTAATAAAGAAAACCTCAGCAATAAGAAAACAGCATTCCTTAAAATATTACTATTGATTATAAATAACAAAGAACTCCTTACCTTCAAGTTTATTTCACTCATTAGTCCCTTTTTGTTCCCTGCTATTTGTCTTACGTTCAGAGAGCATGTATTTCAGCTGCCTTGTTTCTGCATGTTAAGTTCCTCAATCTGGAGGACAGCGAATGTGACAACAATAGAGCATGTGACATACTGTGAAATCTTAAATGACTCGTAGAATAAGAGCCTTCTCATTATGACATTCCTCAAATGACTGACATTTACCCATTTACCATCCACACAATAGAATCATTAGACATAGACAGTGGGAGAAGATCTGGTCTATATTGTTTTTCATTATGTCATTTTCACATCAATATAATCTTTGCAGTGTTAACAGACACGTTTGGTTCTGATATACAAGTCATGCTCTGCACCACAGTAAAGGACAGCAAATAAAATTCAACTCAATAGATTGTAATAGTCAACTCTGTGTCACCATTTTGTGGGATGTTCAAGATGTAGCTGTCATCTAAATGGTTATCAGGTTCAGTTTGCAAACTAATGAGAGCTTTGGAATTTCATGGAATTTCTACATAAGTTTTTAACGTTTCTGTAAACATAAACATGTTATATTCCAGCTGCATTCGGAATCAAACACAAGATGTTCAGGACCGGAGATCCAGCAGCCGATCAAAACACTATATTTTACAGCAATATTGAATCACCACATACAGAACACACACATAGACATGATATTTTCTTAAATACAGACAGACACAGGAATGGAGTCATTAACATCAGATTGAAAATAAAATACATCAAACAATGGCGTTCCACCGTGGTTCTAAAAGGGTTCCTCTAGGAATGAGAATCAGTCCATGAACTTGCGATTCTGGTTTGCACCAAACAGGACAACTCGGATTTCAGGCATCATCTGAAAAGAAATCAAAACCAAATCAAAATTCTAGCATTTATTTAACTCTGCTTCTCAGTGTTAAGTAATCAGATTACATTTTTCAAGTAACTAGTCAAATAATGCATAAGTTACTTTTTCAAAAAAGTAACGCAAGTTATTTCATTGTCCGACACCTTTTCCTGTCACCATGTTGAGAGAAATTGGTGGTAAAATGCAGAAGCCTTGTGATATTGTAGTTCGAAAATAAATGTGAACATGCATTCATTCATCTCACTTGCACAAAAACAGATTCAGTACTCCTCAAAATGAATAAAAACAGTAAATTATTTTGTAAACCTGAAAATAATTCAAAATTCATCCATTTAATCCCACTTGGGATGCCTCGAACTGAGCTTAAGTGTTATTTTTATTTCTTATGCAAGATATTTTTATTTCTAATGTATATGTTGTGATTATTTTACGATTATTTTAACTCCTTTTCTATGTAAAGCACTTTGAATTACCACTGTGTATGAAATGTACTATATAAATACACTTGCCTTGCCTTTATTTACCAATGTCTTTGCTGCTGACAACGATGATCCAATTCAACCATAAGCTTTAAACATCACATTTGTGTTAAATTGTTTTGTTTTTATTGCTAAAGTAAGAATATTTAACTTTTTTCTCCTGCATCATTTCATTTCGATGTGAAAGGGCCTTGACGTTTGCCAAAAATATAACTTTTTTTGTTTGTTATTAAAAAACAAAAATCTAAGCCCAGCTCAGGTGAAAAAAAAGTTATGCAAAAGTAACGTTAACATTACTTTCCAATAATAGTAACCAAGTTACTTTTTTATGGAGTAACAATATTATAACACTTTACTTTTTAAAGTAACTTTTAATAATCTTCTCAGCCCAAATGCTGCATACCTGTTGTGCCATGAGGTCCAGCCTGCTCTCCAGAGTGTTGGACACTTTGATCCTCCCATCAGTATTATACAGCTCAATACCACCAGAGCTACAGAGAAAACACACACACATCCATTACAAAGATAAAAAAGAGAGCTAAAATTGTTTAGGCTAATTTTATAAACGAGGAACTGCTCAGGAAGCGTAGGTGCTCACATTTCTGGAGAGAGGAAGTTGTCCTGGGCAATGCGCACTTCAAGATTGTCCTTCACAGCTGCCTTGTAGATAGGGATGTTTCTCTGCACAGCAGCCTAACAAAACATTTTTAAGTCGCTTTGAAATAAAAGTGTCTGCTAAATGAAAAAAAAAATGGAAATTAAATGTAAATGACAAATTTAGATTTTCAGTGCTTTTTTTTTTTTTATCAGTAGCTGTGTTTCCATCCAAAGTTGCAAATTTAACTTGAGCGCAAAATTGGAATATCACATAAAAAAATTCTATTTGGTATTTAATAATGTTTATTTGTATTTTAGTTTTTTAGTACATCAAGTTAAACTAAATGAAAATGAGAAATGTTGTCTTATTGTTGTTTCAGTTGTCATTGAATATACATCCACAGACCTGCACTATGCCTACGTCCTGTTTGCGGCAACGGATGGTCACTTTGGGTTCCAGGAGTTGGTAAAAACCCTGAAAAAATGAGAATATTAGAGCATAAAACTCACAGAAAGTCTTTGACAGAGCTGATTTGCTACACCATGTATTATTTATTGCTCACCTGCAGGATAAGTCCATCCATCAAAGCAGCGTATCTGGATGGATCTCTGGCTACATTCGCTAGTCGTTGACGTGCGTCGTTTAGCAAATCCTAAAGAGCACAGAATTCAAACTGCTGTATAAACAGACAACAGAAACCCCCACCCAATATTTTGTTTATTTTGTTAAAGGTTTGATGTGCCACAAAAGAGAACATGAACTAACCGAAATCATGTCATCACGGGCCTTCAGGACCTTCAGTCTGGCCTGGTTCATTAGGTTGGACATTTGACTGTGGAGAGGAAGCAAACAATTTAAACATTATTAGGGACAAATAATTCACAATCAGATTATTTCATAAATATTCAAATGATCTGAAACCGCTTTACAACATGATACGCTTGTTTGAGTAACAGATTTTGAGGAAACTGGGAATTTCCATGATTTGGCCATCAAATGGCTTAGGTTAGAGGAAGTCGCACTCACATTTTCTTCTGCTGTTCGATCTGCTTCTCCTTCTTCTCATAATACTCCATAATCTTCAGGCGCTGGGTCTGAACCAGCCGACCTTTCTCAATGTTGAACTCCTCCTCTGCCTGCAGGGGGGTCACTCATCATATCAGTATATTACACCATTTCCACTATAACATTGTATTGTTCTAAATTAATGGAATAATTTAAAGCTAAACAAAACTGACTTTTGCATCAATCTCCTCTGCTTTTTCATTGGCTTCCTGCTCAATGAAAGCCATCATGTGCTTGATCTGGAAGAAATGGAAAATGATAGGAGAACAATTTAATATCAATGGGGAAAAGGCTTTTATGGAACCTGAAATCAGTGTAAATCTGAATGAAACTGTAAATGCAGGCACATGTATTTTCTTTAACAAAACAAATAATCCTAAATATGACTAAACAAGTTTACAGTAGCTGCCTCTCTGACCTCATCACATGAATGTGGAATGTGTCTGTCTAGTGTGTGTGTGTTTAGTGGGTTTCATAAATGCTATATTACTATGCAGAACATCGTACATCTTCATATTTTGCATCATCTGCATTCTGTATCTTGTGATACATATGATTTGATATTATTTCATCACACCACTTTGATGTATTTGCCTTTGGGATGATTGATTTAATTTTACCTTATTGATCCATTATGCACATGTGCGTGTTTCCATATACAACAATTCACTTTAATACAAAATGCATTTATATAAATTCACTGTTATCATATAGACAGGTCTCGTGATGCTAGCGCGTGTCTAATGAATAAATGACGAACAACCTTGAAGGCCACATCGTCTTGTTATATCACGATGCTCCTGTCAGGCTCGTCAAAAAACAATGCATTTATCAAAGCACTTAATGATTACTCTTTCTATAGTGTTATGCTGTAATGAAGATTAAATGATGCATTTGAACGCGTTTTCACCTGCTTCTGGACGTCGGCATCGCTGAGCGCCATGACTGCTGCTGCTGCTGCTGTAAGAGGATTTTAAACTCCACCGACAGAAAAAGCTCGCGTCGCGGCAAAGGAGAGACGTTTTATATTTATAAAGACGTTCGAATATTTTTGGAAAAGCCTAAAGATTTAAAAACGCACAAAATCGTGTGAAAGTGGTCGATCGTGACAGTGTCAGAGTCGTGAAAATACACTGGAAGGATCAGCTGATTCTCAGTCAATGATGACACATACGTCACATGACGCGTGTTTCTTCTCCGGGAACCAATCAGATCACAGTGCGCGTGTAGGGCTTTTTATTTTGAACCTTCGACAAAATAATTAATAATAAAATCAAACCATTTCACCCAAAAGTTTGAAATGATAAAATAGCACACATAAGATAAAATAGAAAATGGACAATTGAATAATGAAACATTTGGACACATTTTGGTTGTCTGCGATAGGACTCAAGGGGAACTGATTTCATAAATCATTTAAAAGTGATTAAATTCTGCTGAAGGTCATTATGAAGGTTTAATTATGAAAAACCCCAACAAAAAATAACAGCAACCTTTATCACAAGTTAGAATCTATTCTAACTTTTTTAAACAAACACATGTCAAGCAAACAGGACTACATGTCCTTGAAAGTAGGACAGATTGAACAATGTGTCATGGACCAGAATAAGGTTAAGTGGGCCGATATGAGTTTTTACCACTTTGCCATGTCCCCATGAGTCGGACAGATGTAATGGGATAGGGGGTGGGATATAGGGGACAGCCAAAGGGAGGTGCTGAATAGCATTCTGTTGCAGTAAAGCCCATAAGCCCCAGTGACCCCTCCTCTGTATTTATTCAAGCCTTAGTCTGCATTCATTTCCTGACTAAACTCTATGCTCAGACAAGGTAAGATCTGTTTTCAATAGCTCCTCTTAGAGAATATCAAATGACATATACAGGTTATGATTGGGTGTATTCTCCTGTCTCTAACAGAAAAGTGAATGACAAAATAGTCCATGTGTTGCTTGGACTTATTTGTTGCTTCATATCAATTATATAAATTTCCCATATGGGTAGTAAGAGAATCTAACAGTTACATCTGAAGTGCTATAAGTTGCTATAGCATCTTTTCTATCACAGTTTTATAGGCTATTTATGTTTTATATGAGGATAGTATTTTATTAACTGCCTTGTTACAGAAGGACCTTCAGCCACACTTTACTAATTATTCCTGCTGGTTTGAAGAGGTTCATACAAAAGTATAACATGTGTCATTTTCCTCTTGTGATGAAACAGTCGGAAACTGTTTCTCATTCTGTCCACTGGGTCACATTCAGCCATCTCTTCTGCCCTCAAATTTAAAATGCTACACCATGTATTTCTTGCACATCTGATCCCTTTATGCACTTTGACCTTTGATCTTAGTTTACTATCTCTTCACAATCCGACTGTTGACGCTGCAGATGTTTTCACTGTGCCGTGACTGAAGCGGCGCTGCTGGTTCAAGCTCGAACTGCTGTTCCCATAATGTTATGTACTTCATTAATGGGATTGGACACTAAATTAATGGCAGTAGTGTGTCGGTGGGAGATTTATGAGTTTAGACATCGATTAATCTGACAAAGTGAATAAAAATTTGGTCCTAAAAGAGTAAGATATGACCTGAACCATGATCATGTCATGCCATGTGAAATATCTGACATGTGAACAGTTGGAGATATATATAGGCTGCATAGCCAGTCAGATATGCGCTTACTGACCTATACATAGATCAGAACATGACAACAGACAAGGATGTTTGTAATTCTTTGTAATTTGTCATGGACACAAATCAGATCTGGTAAATACTCCTGGCCCGCATTTATTTCTTTGCTCATGTTTTGTTCAATTTGGTTTGGTCTCTTTTTCACAACAAATTACGTACACCATCTACATGAATTAATTCTGTCTATCATCTTTAGGACTCACTGAAGACAGAACCTGTGAACATTAGTCAGATTTTCAGAGGGGAGAAAAAGATCTTCCATCCTGTCTGCGGACCGGCAGTTTGCGGGGCCCGACCCTCCCCGGGATCTAACCTCAAGCCTGGAGGAGAGCAGCAGTGGTTCGGGCCGCTGGCAGACAGCAGGTCTGGCTGAGTCCTGGACGTCTGTTAGCGACATGGAGACAGAGCTCAGAAGTCTAGAAACCAGTGAGATGGTTCTAGTTCAAGAGGACCACAGCGAGAACCACTCCTCCACCTCTGACATCATCCACTTAGAGGCGGAGCTCCACGAGAGGGCGGAGTCAGATGATGAAGAAGACCTTCAGAGTGATAGGGAGCTGGCGGGGATTGGATCTGCTGCAGAATCAGATCTCAAGCCTCCACAGACAGGGGAACTGATGTGTGCGGAGGAAATTGAGACAGAGGTGGATTCTGAGCCATTTTTCACTCACACCCGTCTTCTGTCCGAGCCGTTAGATTTCACGATGGGATCTCTTCCCGTACCTGAAATCATGTCACAGGTTTTAGATGATCTCCCACACTCTGCAGTCACACTGTCAGAGGAGTCTCGTACTTCTGAATCTAGTAATGAGCCTAACGTGTCTCAAGACCACACAACGTCATCTTCGGAAGAGGTTGTTTCAAAGGCAGACCTGCTTGCCACCTCGACCTTTGAACTCCCGGCGCTGCTAGTTAGTGTCGGCGCCCTGGTGGCGGTAGTGGGAGCACTTACTTATAAATTGATTAGAAAGTAGCAGGACTGTATATCTCTAGCTTCAACATTGTAGGCCTAGTCTACAACAATTCAACAAATTGTATTATTGAAATACAGTGTTTTTGAATATTATAGATTGTCTTATTTTGTTTTATTTAGACACACATACAAATACATCCAGGACTGTCACACATCTGGAACATGACATCATCCTGATTATCAAAAGATAAATACATTACAGTGTTTGCTGTAGGCTACTGTCTTAAATTTATGCTGCTTTTGATGAAAATAATTGTTGGACAGTAAATAAAAAATAATAAAAATATTACAGATAATTATTGTGTATTGTTAGGATTATTCGTGATTTTCTGCTTAAATGTGTGCTTTTTTTATTTATTTTTTCATTTAGATTTTGACTAAAATGTGTTTTTTCTAAGTGCAATGTCCATCGCATTTGAGGATCGTTATCTATTTTTTTTCTTACTAACATTCGGATATTAAAATTGATTAAAATTGAATTAAACGTCAATAATAAAAGAACTAGATACTAGATTAGTTCTATATTATCATCTCAGTAGATGATATATATATATATATATATATATATGAAGAGTTCAGATGCAAAAGCCTCTAAATGCCATTTGAAATGTTCTTCTTTAATGATGATTTTTATCAAACTTGTATATTTAAGTTCAGTAATTTCACTTAAATGGCGATGATAATTACCTATTAATTGTTATTTAAGTGAAATTACTGAACTTAAATATACAAGTTTGATAAAAAATCATCATTAAAGAAGAAAATTTCAAATGGCATTTAGAGGCTTTTGCATCTGAACTCTTCATATATATATCTCAGTCAGTCCTCACATGAAATGTCACCCTCCGACAGCAGGTGGCAGTATAAATCTGGTAATAGACAAAGAGCGACAAGCAAGAGAGTGATGAGTAAAAGATTTGTGTGCGGAAGTGTCGTATACTATTCCATGTATGATTTCTCTTCGCTCAATTCTTCAGACCTTCCAAAATGAGTAAATCAAGGACGACGAAGAAAGAGAAAATAAGTGTGGCAAGCGAGGTAATGTCATGTCACATGTCATGCACGAAAACGTGTATAGCCACAATTATTCTGTATGTATGTATAAGTCCTAACATCTGTTTTCATATTGAAATTATGCTTTTTTTTTGCTCTCTTTAGATTGACCGCATTGAAGAGCGGAAATCACACTGTAAAAACAACCTGGAAAGGTCAGAGTTCAGACAGAGAAAAGAACAACTCACGGACAGTGAAAGGTGGTTATGACAATATGATGATAAACATTGCTGTGCTTCAGACATATGCAGACATACTGTACAAACGAGTCTTTTCATGTACTGCCAGGCTCGCCCTTGAAGATGAGATGACCATAATGAATATCAGAATACAGAATTATGGTGAGTCACTTTTATGGAAAGATTAGGGGTCAGCCTGACAATGAAAATTTAGTCCAGGGTAGTGGAATATTAAGTAGCCGTGGAATCAAAATTAATAATAATAATAGATATTTTTTTTAGGAATATTGCAATATTTATTTGAAATGATTAATTTACATGATTTATCCATCCACATTTTATTTTATTTTTTTTTCATGTTCCTCCTAATCTTTAAACTTACCCTACCTCTTCTCTGACGACCTGTTTACTGGCGTGAGGGCGGGACAATCTGTCACTCAAATGAGCTCGACCAGTAGCAAATAACAACTATCCAAACCATTTCCTGATGAACTAAATCAAGTCCTACCCTACTTTTTTTAGTTTGTTTCACGTGGATACACATCAAAATAGGAAATAAATCACAAAAATGTCTTGATTCATTGCGTCATTTGGTATTGAAACAAGTTTTGGGACGAGAAGTGATGTCATATTTGTTTTTTCTTCAGAAAAGGAGCTGCAGGTACTGAGAGGAGAGAACAGGAAGAACATGATGCTGTCCGTCGCTCTGTTAGCCATCAGTGCTCTTTTCTACTACACATTCATATATTAAAGAGGTATTTTCTGCCATGCTAAACACTGACTGAGAAAGAGCTATGGGGAGACTAAAATCCATTCGTAACATCAGTGTCCTTTCATTGGTTTGTTCAGTGATTGTGGATCTGTCATTGTCGCTTTAGCCATGAATACATTGTGCCATCTTCATCTTGGCTTCGGCATCCTGGATTATCTGAACACTGCTTTATGTTTGCTGTGTAACAGCGTGACATTAGATGCTAGCGCATCAGAGAGAGAGAGACACAGATTGGGGATTAAATGTATCTTTATATGATTGAACTTTTTGGGAGCTCTTATGAACTTTACCAGATCACAATTTCAATGTAAGCATATACATTTACCCAATAATGACATGGTGGCGTTTCTCTCCAGATCACTGTTTATTGCCTTTCAACAGGACTAACATGCACAAAGGTGGGAGGGACAAAGGGTGTTATTCCATCCAAAAATAAAATTTATCAACAAAATGTTCAATTGAAATAAAAAACAGCCATCAATAAAATGCAATACTGTCCCATTAAACTGCTGTTTGTCCCTTTGATATCCTTGATACTTGCAGCAAACACTCTCTTGCAAAGTTGCATACAACAAAACATCGGGCAGCCAGTTCTATTCAGTCCTGTTTTGAGACTGGCTGATGAACTTGCTGCTGATAGAATCTGTTCTGGCTCAATGGCGTCCCCCTTTACACAACAAAGGAATTACATGCTGTGATATTATATTGTACGTACAAGCAGGACTCGACCGGCTCAGACAGTGTCTTTTGATGGACACAGACCTTTGTACAAATGGGATTCACTAACTAGCCATGTAGTATGCAAAGTAAACTTCTGACATAACTAAAATATATTCAACCTTTTTATCTCAAAATAAAGACTAAGGATATTCAAAACAATCTGTAATTTAAAATGTTCTAAAATGCATATTTATCGTCATTAAATGGTCACATGTCGCATGTAACTCACAATCAATACAGATACGAAAAAAAGAATAAAATCAGGGCATTGATAAAAAGAAACAGTGCGTAAAACACTACCTTAACTCGTAATACGTTGATATTGGTCCCACAGAAGTTATTCCATGGTCAAAAGATGACTAATACTCGACTGATGATGACACGTACCGGCCCAGTGATATTTACCACAGCAAAAAAACATTTTCCACAGAAAACGTCACACATTTGATTTGATTTCCCACGGAAAGCGAGCCAGGAAAAATGAATGCACATCTATCATTAAGAGACCCGCAGATGCACGTTCAAGAATGCATCGCCCATTACTCTTCATAGTATTTTTCTTTTTTTTAAATATATAGATCTGAAGTAATTGAGAACATTGAAATACAAACACACGTACACACATGTATTTAATCACGTTCACGGTTTGTGCTACAACAACAGACAGAAAGGGAGGGAGGGAAAGAGAGAGAGAGAAAAGGAGAGGGTCTGGAGGCCCTGAATGTAATGAATGGAAGAGAGTACACACGTCTGATTCATCGGGGCTGCACAATAAGTGTGACAACTGCAACAGAGAAAAAAAAGAGGTTTTAGTTCTTTATATGCGTATGTATTTGTGTGTATATATTACATAAATATGATTATTGGAGTAATCTGATAATATTTTTTGTAAAAAATAGACCTACGTCAACAAAAGCCTTCGGTTCAAATAAGGTATCAAAAGCATGAAATGTTATGTTTTTATTGAACAACTATTAAAATACATAATGCAAAATACAAAATGCGAACAATCTACATATGTACATTATGCCTGCAGAGGGCGCCAACAGCCTGGTGATTGTTGGTGTGTTACACTTTAAACGTGATCAAATCCTTGTGTGTTATTCTTGAAATTCTTTAAAATGTCTGCCTAATCTTTAATATTTGGCCACTTTCTTATGATATAAATGCTACAGCCAGCGTCATTTCTTGAACAAGAACATGTGGACATCAAATCATTCGAACTCAGATTGAGGGTTTTAACTTCTTAAATTGCATATTTAACATATTGATGTATTTCCTGTGTCAACGTAGGTTTATTAATGATTTACGATACAAATCGGGTGAAAAGACGCATGTTACATTCCCAGATGCAACAATTCGCTTCAATTGCACTTTGCTATATAATGATTTTTTAATTTTTTTTTTTATATCGTGCAGCAGCCTTAGAAAATGGTCTAATAATACGGTCAATATAATGCAAGCACTGTAAAAGGTTTTGCCACAAACTCATCTCGATCGTACTGGTGTCATGAGACAAGCTTTTCACCTTTTTTTTCCTGAGAAATATTGTCACGTTTTAATATCACTCCTTAAATATTGATTGATCACTCTATATTGATTACATTTTGATCTGTGTTCCCCTGATTATTACGGCCCCAGATGCCACTATTTTTAACTACAGTCTTAATATAATATTAAAAACGAGATGCATCAGATGCAGAACAAAATTTCCGCTTGCGTCTCATTCTGTTTCCTATTGTTTCACATCTGCTATAGCTGTAGTTAAACTTACACCAGCTGCTCATCTACATGAAGTCTTTGATATTGAGGTCAGCGAGAGGATCTTTAGAAGGTGGAGGCTTCCTGGGACTCTGAGCCATTCCCGGAGACATCTGTGGGGGTAACGCACACATGACGGGAGCAATAATTAAGTACGTGTGTCTGCATTTCTTGTCTAAATGACTATTATAATGCCTTAGTGAAAAATTCAACTGCATTCATGTCTAAAATACCGGTTGTCCAGGGGCTCCTGCTGCCGGAAACTGTGGCCTCATCATTGGTTGTTGGGAGGCCATCATCGGTGAGCCAGGCATCATGGGAGAAGCTCCTGCTCCAGGCTGTGAATCACAGAGAGACACGGTAAGAGAAACGAACACAAACGCCTTCACACACATACACTTAAACACACACTCTTACCATGCCAAATGGTGATGGGGATCCCATGACAGGACACACCCCAAGAGGGGGATTCTAAGCGAGTGGGAAGGATGGGGGGGAAAGGTTAACACCAAACACAGAACAGGACAACACCTGAACAAAAGGACTCTACGACATACAGAAGGGAATCTGCACAGTGCACAAACTGGGATGGTGGTTAACAATTTGGGATGTACATGCATATATGTTTAGTATTATAGTAATAATAAAATAAAAACAAAGAGAAGAGAAGAGAAGGAAGCGACTGTCAAACAAAAACAGGTCTGAAGCTCTTAAGCGAGACTGAATCTGAAGCTACTGTTTGGCTTTTTCACACTTTACACAAACGATTAAGATTATGAATATAATTATATATTCCAGTGACAACTCCTGATACAGTATTTATTCATCTTAACATTTGTTAATAATAAACTAGTAATAACAATGTAATAATAACAGATACAACTTTTGATTTAAAAATGTATTAGCACATTTTTAAATTAACATGAACTAAGATTGATAAATGCTTTAGAAGTATATTTTATTTGTTAGTTCGTGTTATTTAATACAGTAAACGTTGACAAATGGAACCTTATTGTAAAGTGTTACCAGAAGATGTTGAAATAAGAAATGTACAGCTGACATTTCAAGAGTTTCCATATTTCAACCCTAAGTTTCATATATGAGAAAGCTCCGCCTCTTAAGTCCTGCTCATTCAGCTGATAGAGGGAGAAAGGGAAGCTTGTGATTGGCTCCACGCCATGCTGCTCAAAGCCATGCTCCACCCCCATGCTCCACTTCTACAGTACAACACAACATTTACCATGGCAACGCCCCAGCTAGGGGTGGGTACCTGCGCTTGCCAGTTCGCCCCTCCTGCTGCTTCACCCCTGAGACAGAAACAGAAGAGGAATAGATACACAAATATGTATTTAAGGGGGCAAGAAAATATGGTGAAATCGAGAGTTGAACGTTACTGTATCTTACGGTTTCTGGTTCCCCATTGTCAAATCTGAAAGCACAGACAGAGAAATATACAATTTTAGATTCTTATAATTGTTTGCTCTTACACTCTTAAAAATAAAGGTTCCAAAGAGTTCAAGGTGTCAAGAACCATTGAGGTTTCATTGGAACCATTCATTTGAACCTTTCAATGAACAGTTCTTAAAATAACCATTTTTATTATTCTAAGGAACCTTTTCCACTATAAAAAAATCCCTTTTGTTTAATGGAAAGGTTCTATTTCCATTAAATATTTCGAGTAGTTCTTAAAATAACCATTGTTTGTATGAAGAACACGATGAACCTCTTTCCACTGTACCCCAATGGTTCTTCTGCGAGAACAAAACCCTTTGTAACCTTTATTTTGGAGTACACCTTATAAAAAATGGATTGGAACGTACTGCTGGCCATGTTGGCCATAGCTGAGTCCAGGTTTCCTCCCATGGGTTTGACCGGTGAGTTGGTCATGGGTGACGCCCCTGATCCCTGGGGAGCCATAGCTGGCATGAGCATATCACCCATTCCATCAAAAGCTTAAGGGAGAGGGAAGAGTGAGACAACACAGTGAGCTTATTTTTCAGTAATAATAAGAAAAAGGGGAGCTAAACTGAATGCTAACAACCCTCATGCAGGGTATATCGCTATGGCAACCAGTACAAGAAAAATCTTAACCCTGTGTCTACACCAGACAGAAGCCGCGCAATGCGACATTATAATCAGTGATGTTGACTTCACTGGATGTGGCGCGACGCGACAAATTCCTGATGGTAAAATGATTCCCCATTCTATTCTGACGTACTTCAAGTGCTCTCGCTTCTTCTGATATGAAGAACAAATGGATTTGCAATGGTCGCTTTGTCACATCCAGTGGGGCACAACAACGGTATAGTCCGGTGTAGGCATGGGCTGTGTCCGAAATCGCCCCCTATACCTTAAATAGGCCACTATTTGAAGAAACAGCCATTTGTAGTGGTGGATGTTATTGAGTGCTCTCATTCAATCCCATAATTCACCGCAATAACGAGTCTACACTCAACGGCTAGAGAATAACCATAATGCACTGTGAGGGTCAGGCCAGATGAATTCCCGCGTCTCACCAGAAGATGGCGCTCATTGTTATGTGGCTACATAATATCATACAGGTATAAATTACTTTTTAATTGATTTATCAATTTTTTTAAATTAAGGTTTATACATACTAGTTTCCATGATAGAGTTCAAGATGAACCTTCTGGTACTTTCAAATGATTATTAAATGGCAAGTGCAAACTATGCAAAAGCGACAGGCCTTAGTTACGACGCACTCAGTGTCGTTTTCATTCACTCCTTCAAGTGTAGTATATATTAGTGGAGAAATGCAGGGAATAGTGAATGAGGGTACAGGGGGTGATTTCGAACACAGCTATGGTGTAAGAATGAGAGCAGGAAGAAAGAGAGCTGAGCGCCATCAAGACACACCATGACTACACACACACACACACTGACACATTAAACATTAATTCAATCATTTAACAGCTTTGAAACACCTGTAGTGTTAGACTTGTTTCACACAGCATGCATGAAAAGCTTGCTGTGCTTTTATATTGAGTGACACTACAAACTACGGCTCAATACTGAAAAAATATATTCTTCTCACGGGATTTTATCATAAAAAATGCTTTTGTGTGCATGGAATCAAGCCTGACATTCTTCTTTTTTCAAAAAATGGGTGATTAATTCCCTCCATTATTTTATGCTGCTATATTGCAAAATATAATTTTGATAAATAGCTTTATATTGCATTTTCAATATATTTTCTGCCCACTAAACAGCAAAAATAGGCTCAGCGTCGTAACCTTTTAATATGGGCACCGGTAACAGTATGCGCCACTGCTTACGCATGCGTTGTGAAACAAGCCTAAAATAACCTACATTACTGTACAGCTTTTACTAAGCACTGATTTTTAATAATAAACATTTCAACCATTAGTTTCTATTGTTAATGCACAGGATCTAACACTGGAGATCTTTGCAAACCATCAAAACGTTCATTCATTCATTCATTCATTCACTGCTTGATTAGCAGTCTTTCAGTTTTCTGTGGTGCAGCAATGCATTGTGGGATTGCAGCTGGTGTATGAGCATCAGAACTCACCAGTAGCACAGGAGGAAGCAAGCAATGACCCAAGAGCCAGATGGATGGGAAGAGATATGGAAAATGAAGAAAAAAATAATAAAAAGAGGGAATATAAAACAGTGGAAGAAGTAATAGAAGAAGAACATACGAAAGAGAACATGATCAGGAAGAGGAAAGTGTCGTCAAGCAGAAGATACATCAGATGAGCACAAAAGAGAGTGAGTGAGTGAGTGAATAAGAGAAAAGAGAGAGCAGAATTAAGCAGCAAGGCATTGGGAAGAAGGCTTTCTCAGTCCATGTAGAGCTGAGATGAACATAAACGCCACGCATGAGAGAAACAGATGGAAACACGGATCTCATGTCAACATGTCAGTATCACCACGACACAACTGAGATGTAACGTGTCTAGACGTGTAATATACATCAGGCACACACACATCACTAAACTGACAACAAGACACATAAAAACACCTCTGCTATTTTAAAATGACACATACACCCAGAAGAAAAATGTTGATATATATAAACAAATAAATCATAGCTTAATTTGGGTTCTCAGTTTTGATTCATTGGAAAAAAATTGGATTACATAAATAAATTGCAAATCTGAGCACTTCTGAAACTCGTGAGACAATGAAATGGGCGTGACTCTTAAAAGTGGACGAATGTGAGTTTTCAAGAGTGGGGTTTAAGCGGACTAAATGATTGGAGAAGACCTGCATACAACACCAGAGAGAAGTCTTCACCAGGTATGACATTTTGATTAACCTTTAAAATTAAACATCCTGTATGCATGGACAAATTGTTTTTACAATAACATGTATTTCAGAAAATAGGATTTTAATTTTAATGCTGACTATTGGTGCATGATTTGCTCACCATCTCATTGCTATCGTTGAGAAACTACTGAGATCTGATTTGGGATTTGTCTTTCCTAAGGGTGTGAAAACATGCTGCAGTTTCCATGCTATGGACTATGAAGATTGTAAACGTGAATGTTTTGAACACCAGACAAAACGACATGAAGAAAGAACAAAGAAATCAGGGCTGCGGGTTACGTACCCGACATCAGATCTCCACCTGTGGATGCTGCGGCTGGTTTGGCCTCACCAGCACCCGCCGATTCTGATCCATCCACGCAGCATGAGGGTAAAAAAGTGAGCAGGTGAGTGAGCCAAAGCCATTACACTGAGAGTCAAGCCCAAAGAGAGAGAAAGAGAGAGATTGTTATCACCCAGCTAACAGAACTTGTACAAACATTCTTATAGTAACGTTAATAGAATGTTATCTGGTCTTTAATAACATTCTCAAAACATTAGCCCAAGAATCTTATTTATACAGCATTTATGATTTTTTTACATTTTAGTTCATCTATACTACTTATTAGTTTCAGATGATTTAGAGAACATTCAATAGTAACGTTTCCATAATGTTTGCAGAATAATAAAATTGAACATTTCCTTAATGTTGTCTCTAACATTCACATAACCAAGAAAAAGTAAAAACATTTAAAGGGGCTATATAAAGAATTCAGTAACCCTTGTTATTAGTGACACCGGTGGGCATAAAGTGAACTGCAGCCACAACTTATTGCTTGAATACATGTAATGTACAAGAGACTGAAAGGGATTCAAGGCCCGACATACTCACTAATCTTCGCTTAGAACTAAAAAGAAGTTGGAAATACCTTTTACAGCGATTTACTGTTAACGAACAGCTCCTGAGAGTGATGTGCATGTGCGACGTAAATATGTCACAACAAAAAAGACATCGGTGAGAAAACAGCAGTTAAGAAAGCATCTGATCATAGTGATGTTGATATGTTTGCCCAAGCTCTGCAATTTACCAACATCATGTCAACAGATAATTACACTGTCATGATAGTTTGATTATAAAGTATATTTGAGACTTTATATCTGTCTATGTGAGACTGTAGTTTGGATTAATCCCTTCCTTTGCATGACACATTGACATTACAGTACATAATAGCTTTTTCTGCATTATCCTGAACATAAGTATGATGTATAAGCATTCATTTAGTGTCATAGAACTGAAGGATCTTGGCAGCGCAAGTAAATGTCACATCCTTTTGATTTTCCCAGCAAAAACCTCTTGAGTCCTTTTCATTAAAATCAGAAAAATTATTCATTTAATTCATTAAAATAAAAAAACCCCCACAAGTTTTGTAAAAAACAAAAAAAAAAAAACAATAAATACATTAAAATTCTTACATATAGCCCCTTTAAAAAACTGCAATATCCATTTAAAAATAATGTTTTCATTCACTTGTTGTTAGCAAAACGTTCTTAGAACATTTGTGTTTATAAATACAACCCACAAATGTGTTAAGAACCACAAAAGCACACACATACACCTTATTTAAATCTTTTCACTTCCTGTCAGGTCAGGGAATCTCTCACAACTGCTGTCTGGTGTCCATCAACCATCAGAACAGCTATATTTGCCAATAACAGAATCCATAGCAACCACCTGAGCAAAACATGCAAATAAAACCATTGCAAATCATGCACACTGGGGTTGTTACAAACCCCCAAACAGGTCCAGATTTGCCCCGCTGTCTGGCCAGCTCATGGGGGCAGATAGAGCAGCGGGAGGAGGGTGAAACACATCTGGAGCACAGGAACGAGTTTAGTTGGCATCTGAAGTCTTACTCGTTTAACATCCATTATTTGAAGAGTACCTTTATGCATCTATCTATGTAAAAGGAAGACTAAAATATCACAACTAAACCCATAAGGTGCATCAGTTTTAGGTCAGAACCCGTTTACTTCATCGATAAAGACTGAGATAAAGCCCAAGGGTGCAAGTGAAAATAAAAACGTCTCTAAGTGGAGATTATGTACCTAGTGGGTCTTGGGAGACATTTCAAGAAAAACACAGACAGAGAGATTGGGAAAGAAAAAGGAGTGAACGAATGCCTGAGGGAGTGTGTCGACTGCCCTAGGAGAGAAGCATTTTTGGCTCACCTTGAGCAGTCAAGGACAAAATGGAGGGGAAAAAAAGTACAAGCGAGGCAAGGAATGAGTGGATGGATGTAGTGCTGTGTGTACCTGCTGAAAACAGGTCTAGACTGGGGTTAGGGTCTGTTTTGGGAACTGATGAATCTGGCATGGGATGAAAAAAATCTAAAGACAAAACATAAATAATATTAATAATACACAACACAAATCAAACCAATCAAAATCTAGTTGGGAGAGATACGATTTTCATGGGACATGCTAAATTTCTGGCCTAAGGGGTTTACCAGCAAATAGGTCTATCGTCGGTGCTGGGGAAGCAGTGTGGGCTACATCGCTAGTGGTGGTGGAGACAGATGCCGGGCCAGTAGAGGGCGCCACTGAGCTAAAGAGAGCGTTACTGTCATCTACTGGCTGCAGGGAGAACAGGTCCAACTGAAGGGAGTTATCAGCAGAACCAGCCGCTGGAGCGAAGGGATCTATACCGGGAGAAGAGGGTGAGCGAAAAACATCTTCAAGGCTCTGAGACTGTTGTTATTTATTATATCCACCTTATTTTGCAAAGCGGGAATAAGCTAGTGCGAGACTTCTGATTCATTAGCATCTACACTAATAACAAAAATATATGTCTAAGAATGTTTTGCTAACGTTCTCATTAAGTGAGAAAAAACTTTTTTTCTTGTTTGTACGAATGCTGAATTTGATAATTCTTCAAACATTCCAAACATATACGTTCCACATTCAACGTTTGACGAATATCCAACTAAAATTTTTCATGAATGTTACATGAATGATGTGTAAATGAAGATTTTGTACTAATATTTTCAGAAAATTATTTAAGACCAGCTAACTTGAATGAACTTTCTATTAACGTTTCCAGAGGAACATTTGTTCATAAATTTGAGAAAACCTTTCACGTTTGCCAAGGGTCTGAGAATGTTAATTTAATAACTAGATAGAAGAATAACAAAGTGCAATATTGCACCAATGTGTATGTGTTTATGATTACAATAATTAAGTTTTTAATAAAATTAACTGGACGCGAATGACACTGGAAGCCTCGCACATTTAAGTTACAAATAGCCGCACCTGCTCTCACATTAAAATAAGATGGATAAAGTCAACCTGAGGACGAATCTTCAGAGAAGGAAGAATGAGAAAGAAAATTGGAAGAACTCTCCTCTCTCTGTGTAAGTTAGAGCTGATTATTCTGTCAGACACGCTGAGTGTTGCGCGGCTAACAAGTCGACATCTGCTTCTGCCCCCCAGAGAACCGAACTTCAACGTTCAAAGACTATTGCCCTAGCAACACAGATCTCCACGGCAACACCGATGCCAGTTCAGAAAACTCAACATTGACCAGAAGAAGTTTCATTAGGGAAGAGCCTGCAGAAGAGGCTCAATGTGGGTTTTAAAAGTGGTAAATGAAAACAATCACAAGAAAACACACTCTCTCTTTCTCTTTCACACATATATGCGCTTGAACTGTTGCCACCCACCAGTTGCCGCGGTGCCATCGGCAGCAGAAGTGGGCGTGGCTGCTGTGGCCCCGCCCTCTGCAGCAGCAGCTGTTTCAGCCGCAGGGGCCGCAAACACATCTGGAGTACCGCACACAAGGGCCAAAGGGTCGACGTATAATAGCCAAAGAAAAGGATGAGAGGAGAAGAGGAAATAGAGAGAGTAGACAGCATAGAGAGAAAGAAACGACAAGACTTCAGTGTCATGCAAAGTTCGGAATAAAAAAACGTTTGCATTTGACATATTTTAAATGATGTCCTAAATACTTCAAATAACTTGCACTCCTAAAAAATAACATCTAAATTAACATCCATGGAAAATTTTCGTTGCACAAAATGTTCAAGTTTCTTTGAGAAACCAAAAAATGGTCGCTCTGTAAACACCCTTTTGGAACCGTTATTTTCAAGAGTGCACTATATAATAATTCTGACCAATTTTGTTAACTCATTTTATTTTAGTAACATGACATGATTTCCAGAATATTCAACCATACAAAAGTAGGATTGAACTTCATCATATCATTAAATCATTATTAAATTTGTAAGATTTTAGAATGGCTGCATTCCTCTCAAAATATTTACTAAATATCTATTGATTAGCATTAACTAATAGCACATTCGGCCATGCAATCGTTGAGTTATTTCACAGGTTGTTTTCTTTTTAACTCTTTCCATGCCATTGGCTTTGCGTGTTTTCACTGTTATAAGGTAGGGGGCGCTATTACGCATCTTCTGAAAGACTACTGAATCTCCAGATCAAAACACAGGAAAAAAAGGAGCAGAAACAAGAGATAAAAGCATTGCTTATGCATGTTGTAGTCTTTGAAAAAAAAACAACTTGATTTTCTTAGCTTTTTGTTCAAAATGATGCTACCCACATTCAAGTGTTGTTAAAAAAAGAACACAGCTAGAACAGCTATATAAATATACTTGACTTGACTTGACTCTTCTTATTCAGGTATTCTTACAACAAAATATTCTGGGGGCCATGACATTTTTGTGAAAGATTATCAAAAATGCAGGCCGTAGCTGGTAACTTTTTTTAGAAAACGCTGGCGTGGAAAGAGTTAGCATAACTTTTTCTTTGAGCATGTATTAGAAAGCAAAATGTGTCAGTTTTAATTTCATGCTCACTTTAAAAGGTTTTGCATTCTCTGAATGTAAAACTGCAACTGAAAACCTGATTAAACTTACTGTGCAGTCTGCAAATGCAGCTACACATAAGAATAATCAAATGATTACAATTCATGTGTGTAATTTTAATACAGTACACAAGAAGTTGTGGAGCATTGATGGCAAACAAATGTCAAATAAAAACTGCAGCATGGGCGATATAAAGCAGAAAAGGAAATGAGAAGCTCTAGATTTCTACTCTACTGCAGAGGGAAATGGAGTGTTGATGACTACAGACTTCACAAATCACAAATGAAACACCGCTAACTGTGATTTTGATCTGATCTTTAATCTCTGTGCTGAGATGTTCCTCTGTTTCAGAATGTGGCACAGCCTTTACATCTTCTTAAGGAAGAAACCTCACTACTGACCTCCGAGGAGATCGGCTGAGCTGGAGGAAGCAGCGGAAGGAGGAGGAGCCAATGAAACGGCTGCCTCAGCGGCTGTGGGCGTGGCTGAGGAGTTGGAGTCTACGGCAAGGGTTGGGTCAGGAAGGAGAGTCTCTGAAGTAAGGGAACCCATTTCTGCATAGCCACGCCCCCAGCGGACCGATATAAACACAACGTAAATAAACAGATAACCAGGAAAGGAACCAAAGAAGAGGGCAAAAGCATAAGAGAGAAAGAGAGAGAGAAAGATTCCACTGAGCAAAGACTGAGGGATTGACACAGAGATGTGAAATGGATTCTCACTCTAAAAGGGCTTCAGGAGACTAGGTTTGTCATATATAGGACTGTCATATGGTCATTTTAAATTTCCCAGATGAGGTATAACAAGTGTACAAAATGTTTAATAAAATGCATGAGACATTTAACACATTGAATCACATGAAAACACATCTAACATAAAATGAAAAGCCAGCAACGCTTACCTGACCCCAGCAGATCTGATGTGACAGCGGCCCATCAGAGACAGAAAAAGAGATTATCAAATTGAGTCATGCATTCATTAAGAGTTTAAAATGAGAAATGTAAAACAGGTGCTTTAAGGTAGGACGTTTATGTATGACGTTTATTAAAGGTCTGGTTTTGGGTTTTGTTCTTGGCAGTCTGTCATATTATTTTTGGTTTGCGTCAATTTTGGTTTTGTCATGGAGCAATATGAAGTTAAAATAGCTGATGTCATTCATTGTTTAATCAGTCAGCCTGATGGTTTTCTTGCTGGATGACCTGTTTCACTCTAAAATATGTCACATTACGGAAATGAAATGGGTTGTGAATGCTTTTCATGTTGATAAGATCAATTGTGATCATACATATTTTATAGTTTCATATTAAAGTAACCCAATTTGAGCACGCTGGCACATATACTCCAACATCTTTGAGTTTATTTATTTTTTCAATTTCAGGGTTTGGTTTGGTCTGGAAATGTACATGTTCACATGCTGAGTATGTGTGTGTGTTTGAACTGTACCTCCCCAAGATGTGGGAGCAGCCGATGCTCCTCCTGCAGAAGGTCCGGAGGAAGACAACGGGTCCAGATCGAGAAGAGAACTACGGTAAGATAGAGACACACACTTTAATAAACATATGAAAACTGTACGATCAGATAATATCTTGTGTTCTGATTAGCATTTTATCCAACAGGAAGTGAGTCACTGGGTCACTCACTCAGTGGCAGTTTCGGCAGCTGGCGTGGCCTCGGAGCGTGGCGGCTCCAAAGTTGGGACGGCAGCAGCAGATTTGGCGGGAGTGGAGGTTGGAGACACGTTATTGGTGGGTGATCCCTAAAACATAACACAGAGCTGCAAGTTAAGCATATGTGTGAGATCCGTGAACAAAATCAAAACGATAATCAAATGAAGTGCCCACTTACCTTTGTGGGTGACCTGAAGGACACAAACAGAGACATTGAGATGATTTTATATAAAAAGAACAAAACTGATAAAAATGTCGATGAGATTATTTAAAACATACTCACCCTTCCCTGAACAAACCATTGCAGGAGGAGGAAAAGAACATCAATTAGTATTCATATTTACTTAGTTCGAGACGTTCTATTTCTTGTCCAAGGAGACGTACATTACAATAACTGCAAAGACAAGCCACTATTTTCCTATAAATCAACATTCCAATCAACCAATCAGATATTTAGACAATTTTTACATTAGTAACAAGCATCTAAATCAGTGTTGTTTACCTCTCATTTCACCTATGATTTAATGTATAAGTTATGGGTAAGGTTAAGTATAGGAGTAGGGAACGGGTTAGGACTATGTTTTTGGACAGGGATGTTGTTTCAGAATCAACTTAACATGTTTCACTTGGCAAAATCACGGTAACCAGCCGCATGGTTATGTGCCCTGCTCAGGCTTCTCTATCAAATCTAGCATGCAGCATTTGATTTACAAGTTCAGAGTTACTTCCTATCTGACATTTAAAGTGATTTAGAAATGAGTTCAGGGGTCCCGTACCCTTTCTTCCCTTCTAGACTGTTCATATGTGTCTCCAGAGATTCCAGAATACTGGTGGGAGCCTGAGAACAGCAAAATAAAACATACACACACACACACACACACATGATAAGCAGTATTAAAAACCATCAGAGCACATTTGATGTCAATAATTCTCAAGGTTTCACAGCAAATTCAAACACACATCAAAACCAGCTGAAAACCTTTACTCAAACCACTCCTCACAGCACTGCAAAATCAGCGCACTGCACAAACTGTGGGACGGAACTGGACTTCAGTGCATTGCTTTACCCGGCTTCTGAACAAAAAGGCTAATCGCAAAGTGACCTTTTCATTTTTGAGAGAGCATCAAGCCACGTTTCTTTATTTAGCACTTTATACAATCCGGACAATCCAGTCCGAATGCATAGTATTCATAAAAAAGCAGACCTACTACTTCCGAATTCCTCATTCGAGGGACACTTTACTATCCCATGTGGGCATGGTAAAAGCAATGCACTGAGATGCATAATGCGTCCCATATCAGTCAACATGGTTACCGGCTCTTCGTTGAGGCTGTCTTTAAAGGGACAGTCTTCATTGTCTGAATCTGCCATGTCGGCAACTACGCCTGGATGCAGACACTGAGAATTCCCATGGGAGAGCGATTTAATCATGATGCTTGGTTAGGATAGATGAAAAGCTCTTTCACACTCACACCAGCTTTACTTCATTATCTTAAAAGGAAGACAACCAGTGCTCTAAAGTTTTCACAATCCATTGACATCAAGGAATCGATTCTTGACCTGATTCTAAAATAAATTAAGAGCTACACTGAAGCGACAAGCCCATAAATGTGCATACATGACAGGACGAATGTTTGGGAATATGACAGAGTACAATAGTAACTTACATAAGAGATGTCAGGGATGTCATTCTTATCCACTCCTATTTGCTGCAACAGAAACGCAATAATCATATTCTAAGTGAATTGGTATTCTGTAAATAAATTTGACTTTAAATGTCTCTTCTTCTGGCCTTACCTCAGCAATTTTCATGAACTCTGCAATTTTGGTCACCCGGGTCAGAAATTTCTTATAAATCTCCAGAGAATCCTTGCATTCAGACTTCTTCATTTTGAAATATTTCTCTGTAGAACCAAAAAAAAAACATTGTTTCAGGAAAACTCATTTTTTTCTTAATTTCTGCATTAATTAAGCCTTGTAATGCAACTTATAATGCATTATATTGTCGTAATGCAGTTATAATGTATTATAATACTCATCTATTCATTGAAAACACTTTTAGAAAATAGAATGCAATAAAACACTTAACAAACAACCAATTGTCAATGTAACCAGACGAATCTGCACATATTAAAATTTAAAATATAGTAAAATGTATTAGATTGAGATCATCTGTATTCAATTATTTGTCACATGCCTAATAAATTGATGATGCCGTCATTGTAGGAGGCAAAGAGCTTTATCAGATCCTTAAAGAGAAGCAAGAATGCTGCGTTTATGATGCCGTTGTTCAAGTCTTTAGGATGAACCTGGGGGGAGAAAAAAGTACATTTAAAACATGCGAAGTATGGACTAATAATGATAGGTCCCAGATGTTACTCACGTCAAACTCAAGCAGTGTGTCCACTTGAGTCTGCAGGGCAGGCATGGCCTTCAAGAGCTTGTCAGGAGCCATAGTCCTCATCACACCCTCAGCTCTGATTGCACACACACAAACACACACAGGAGTAACAGCTGATTCCTGAGAAAGCATCCGTTATTTCGCTCTAACTCAGAGATGACATTCCCTTTGTGATCTGTAAATGTTACAACTCTGGGAGTAAAGTGTGAAGCGTTTCTAACAGCATCAAAATGTACCCTGATGAAATATTGAATAACTTGGAGTAACTAGTGTCTAAATGTTGCCTTCTATTCCCAGAATCAATCGACATACCCCTTTTTAACTCTAGTGAAGTCGAAGGCCATCGCGCGGTAAGCATATGCCTTCTCATTCAAGTACCGTGCATATCGCCTGATGAATGTCGACATGTCATAGCCTTGGAGACAGAAAAGATATAAACAGCCATAGTTGATCAAATTTATATAGGATTTAATGGATCACACTTCATGGAATTAGTAAGTTAAATGATGGACATTGAACTCAGACACAAAAGTATACAAACTCACCATGGGAGCCTGTTTTGTCAATAAAGTTGCTGAGATTAAACAGGGAAGTTCGGGAGGCCAAATACTGGATGAATCTCTGCAGAGATTTAAAAAGAACAAATCTTGAAACACACAGTATTTATTTTATTATTTTATTTGACCAAAATGCCTTACAAAGCGAATGCAATACATGCAATTTTCGTATTCTCAAAACGCCTAATGAACTCTGAACTTGATAAAAGCAAATGCAGTCCTGCATGCTGTTTTCTTCTCTAATGTCAAATGAAACTAGTAAATACATCTGTAAGATTGAGTTTACACTTGATAAAAAGGAATAACGTTTAAAACCGTAATTTATTGCCTCACCTCATTGCCGTAGATGCTGATGTGGTGAGTCGTGATCAGAGCTTTGAACACGACCACCCAGCTGGCATTAGTGGATCTCTCAAATAGTGTGTCAGCCATCTGAGGGATGTTCACGTTTGTCTCGTTGGTGGCTGAGATCAGATCTGCACACAAAACACACACACATTTAACACCGCAACGCTACGTACTGCAATGTGAATGAAGAGTTTAGCATTATTACTATCAGCTGACAGACAAGTGGAAAAATTCATAACATGCAATTGCATTTAGATGCAAGAAACAGTCCCCCAGAGACAAACAACATTATCCTGTGCATTTTTCCTGCATGTAACCACATTGCGCCACCAGCTATCACCCTGTAGCTTAGCTTCAGTGGGCAACCAGTCTTGAGCAGGGTTAAGCCTGGATGGGAGACCTCCTGGAAAAACTATTGGGTTGCTGCTGGAAGAGGTGTTAGTGAGGCCATTAGGGAGTGCTGCT